GCAACAAGGGCATCGCCACTAGTAACAAGAAGCTACTAGTAACAAGGGCATTGCCATATACTAGTATCAAGAAGCTACTAGTACAACGAAGGTGGATTTATGGCAGTCCCTTCTTCGCTTCACAGCGGGCAACGAAAGCCACTCGAGAAATGCTGGGACAGCACAAACGGCATGAAATGCATGGAAAAGGCAACCTGTTGAGAAGAACATGCCTACAGTACCTACAGAAAAGGGAAAGGAAAAAGAAAAGGAAAAATTGAACGAAGAAGGAAGGAGAAAAAACATGTTCAGACTCTGGCTCATGGGGGATGGTTCAGTACAAGCACCGCAGACCCTCAAAGGCACCAAGTGATAGCTCTCTTTGTGCTAAGATTGCGACCTCCTGTCACTGAAACTCGCTTGTTTGTGATCTTGTACCTTGTGCAAATCTAGCTGTCCAAGTCGCAGCAACATCATGAAATGTCATGAAACATACTTGTGTTGTTATTCTTTTCTCAAAAGACCTTCTGAGTTCTTTATGTTTAAGTTTGGGCGTGCTTTTTCATGAAATGTCATGAAACATCTTCATTGGTGCCATCGCTATTAGGTTGGAGGCCATCGCTACTAGGTTGAATCATCACGCATAGCTTCAAGGCACTTCACACGAAATTGCCGATTCACTGCAGCGATGAAAGGGATGATCCTCGGAAGCAGCATCATTGGAAGAATGACGAAGACATTGCTTTGTTCTTCGTACGAACGTGTCAATAAACATAGTAAAACCGTTTTCCTGTCTTTGGGGACCTTTTTCATGCCTTCAAGCAGTGGTTCCAGGCCCGATCACCACGAAGCAGGAAAAGAAGGGCGCGAACATCTGGCGCCAGGAGCATGTGTCGCGAGAACTGTGTTGAAACTGAATGGACGAAGGAGAAATCCAACCTTCTTAAAAGCAATGGCCTTCCAACCTACTAGTGATGGCCTTCCAACCTAACGATTCCAAAGCTTTTTTGATCAGCGATGCCTCTGTGGAGGAAGGAGGACCTTCCCAGAAGACCTCTTCGGCCTCGAGTTTGGCTTCCTCCTTTTTGCTCTTGTCCATCTGGCGTCAGCATGCGTCAGCTCAGAATCTCTTCACTCAACTTTCTCTGTATTTGGATCTTGGTTCGACTACCCCAGGAATCGGCCGCAAACAGA